TTAAAAGGTGAACTTATCCTTTAATAAGGGTGAAGGGGTATTGCCTCTTTTTGTAATTTCGATTTTCGTGAATTAATAAAGTTTATACGGTTTTGTATTAACTGAAGCTACCATTAACTGAAGTGTCCATTAAGCAGCCTCTGTATGATTGGGCCAGATTCCTACCCTAGGTCCCTAGTGTCATTTATTTTGCTTGTGGTTTTGGCTGCAGTGACCGCACCTGTTGGGTCAGCTGGCAGACATTTAGTGACTACCCATTTTTTCTGTTTTCTTTTTGTACTGTGCATTACACACCCCTGACTCTTGCTCTCTGTTTCGTTTGCACTGCTGACCCCTACTGTGTATTACACATGTCCCCTGCATTCTACGCATTACACATTACTGACCTCTGCTCTCTGTGTGTAATTTACTTCTAAACTCAACACCAAATGTGGCACTCTGTGTGTTACATTATCCTGACTGTTGAACTCTTTGCATTACATACTCCTGACCACGGCACTCTGTGTTATGTATTCCTAAACTCAAAAGTGACTGTAGCATTCAGTGTGTTATGTACTCCTGACTCCTGTACTCTGCCAGACTTCTCCACTATATACACCAGACCTCAAACTTTCCACTCGCCTGCTTGCATTTGTCGAGTGAAAATAATGTGGGGGTGAGTGTGTCCCAGGCAGGGCCGACTATAGCAGTAACATAGGTATCCCGTGAAGATCCAAGGATGCACAAATCCTATTGCCCGACACCTAGGACATGTAGTACTGGGTCACGGGCAGGTGTTCTTTTTTTACATTTACCCCTGTTACACCTCCATTCTCCCTCCCCTCACCTAGCCGCCACCCTCCATCTTATGCAGCCCGCTAACCTCCCCTTCAGGGATTTCCTGACCGCCTGAGGTCACATGACCCACACACCCCACCCCCTCATCCAGCTCCCTGCACGCTGGGTTGATGCTATGCATCTTCAGAGAAGATGAGCTTGGACATTCCTCAAGACGTTGTCATCCTTCTCAGAGGTGACTGCACAGCTCTCCAGACTCAAAACTCTCCTCTCCCTATGCTCATATTAGTCATAGTCATTGTACAAATGCTTCCTATTTTCTTTCTTGTGATTTATAACCAGTGAGTGTGGTGTCATGGGGAATGCAAAATTTTCACATCTTCCCTGACATCGAAATTTTTTTTTTATTTATTTATTATCAGTTATTCTCAACTACGAGAGATTTTCTAGGTGCACTGGATATCATGATATAACAACAGGGTAAGAGTAGTAATTTAGTAATTAATCAATACAAATTTTTAAAATAATTTATTTGTATTATTTTATTTTTCTTTTTATTTCTGTGTTGTGATGTTTTAGTTGCTTTAGTGATCAGGTTAATATGTGACCCTTCTGTTTTTCACTGATGATGATAAATCTATATTTTTGACTAGTACTGCTCTCTGGGGGGCTCATACACCCGGCATATATTTTTTATAGATTTGAATACAATTGTGTTGTCTATGGCCTCCTACATATGGGTATAAAATAATACTATCCACACAGTGTCTTGCTGGCAAAGACATCTACCTTAAAAAAAAAAAAAAACGAAATAAAACAAAAAAACACACATAAAGCTTGGGTATACACTAATAGAAATGTGTTCAACAGTATTTGATTTATTTTTCTAATTGTTAGTGGAGTCAAATCAGGGGCGTTAATTGGGGAGTGGGGTCTTTCAGTGGGGGACTGGAGGAGGACATGGGATAGGGGAGATGGGACTGGAGGAGGAGATGTGTACATCGCCTTATGTTAATATTGTTAAAGTTGTTGTTAATATTTATTTTTGTAACTTCTGTTCAAATTCTGCATAAAACATTTAACAGTGTTATTTCTTTAGATAATTACAAGGGCATATTTAGGGGTGGAATTAGGGGCGGGGCGGGGCAGGGCGGGGGTTGGGTGGGGAAACTTTGTGCCGATACACTATATTGTACATTGCTTACGTCTCACCAAAGTGTTCATTGTATAATAAATACATTTTGGTTGCTAAGAAGTCCCTGACTAATTTTAATGAAGTTCTTATTTAAAGTAGAGGCAGTCAAAGTGTCAACTCTCTGTCTATTTTCGGTGAGCACAAATACTGTACATATGTAATTGAAATGTGTTTTTTAATTATTGTGTTGAGGTTTATATTTGTCTGTGAGACTACTCCTTGTGGCACAGCAATCAAAGCATATTTTATAAGTACAATTTAACCATGCCCCTTAAGCCCCTTCCACTATTAACAATTTGGACAAACCCATTGTTCGCTGCCACATGCACAGCTTACCACACTACTGCTTTCCTTGGGGTACCCAAAAGTGCCCCAGGTCTGTTACAATCCTAACAATGCTGCTGGGGGGTGTGGTGAGAGATTTTCCTGCACCTCACAGACAGGAGTGACTGTACTGTCACTCCTGTTGGAAGGAGCATAAGCTCTCTGTTGCAAGCCTACTGTGGGTGGAAGAGCTCAGTCTCAGTGTAACATTGTTGGTGAGTGAGGGTAAACTGGCCTTCTTCTGGTCTCCCATGGTCATGTGACATCCCATGACCCAAGACAGAAAGAAGCAGAAGCTGCCTTCATTCCAGGCAGGGCTGCACTGGGGTATAAAATGTGAGTACAGGGGATGAAGGGGACAACTCAGCCCTAGACTTTCTTCCTTCTCCTCCTCAGAACCCCTCAGTAGCCTCTTAGCTTTCTCCTTCTCTTAAGGCTTGTTCAACTTTGGGGAGCCCTCGAAGAGTGATCCACCATGGATGGCTTTTCAGAGGGCATTTGGTAGGCAATGAAAAGGCATTATGTTGCTTCCTCACCTCCTGTTTTAACCCCTAAAATTCCATTTTGCTGTACGTGCCACTATTAATCCCATTGCCTTGTCCATCCAGGGAAGGAAGGGGGTGAGTGAGCAATTTACCATTTTCACCAAGAGCACTGGATGACCTTGTTCTGCTACTGGTTTGGCCTGTGCTGAAGAGGGAGAATGTTTGAACCTCTGAAACACATTGGCTTTTATTGACTGTGACTTATAATAAAATTATTTTTTGGTCTTTACAAAGTATAGTAAGTGTCTGATGCTTTCCTCCTTACTCATCAGCTTTTCAGACATTCTGGGGTTGATTTTCTAAAGGGAAATAGGCTTAGCTTAGTGAATAAGGGGAAGCTCTGCTGACTTCCATCATCCAATCTTATGCAAGCAAATACAGTTGTGCTCAAAAGTTTGCATACCCTGGCAGAAATTGTGAAATGTTGGCATTGATATTGAAAATATGACTGATCATGACAAAAAATGCTCTTTTATTGAAGGATGATGAGCATATGAAGCCATTTATTATCAAATAGTTGTTTGGCTCCTTTTTAAATCATAATGATAACAGAAATCATCCAAATGGCCGTGATTAAAAGTTTACATACCCTGGAATGTTTGACCTTGGTACAGACACACAAAGTGACACACACGGGTTAAAATGCCAATTAGAGGTTAATGTCCCACATCTGTGACTTTTTAAATTGCAATTAGTGTCATTGTATAAATAGTCAATGAGTTTGTTAGCTCTTACGTGGAAGCACTAACTAGGCTAGATACTAAGCCATGGGGAACAGAAAAGAACTATCAAAAGTCTTGCGTAACAAGGTAATGGAACTTTATAAAGATGGAAAAGGACATAAAAAGATGTCCAAAGCCTTGAAAATGCCAATCAGTACTGTTAAATCACCTTTACTGCATCAATGACACAAAAAGGCCTGGTTAGGCATGTCAAGGTGTTGTCAGGCATATTGTAACTGGGCGTTTTTATTTACAGGGAACACGTCCAGCCAGTTAACTGCCATCATTTAATACTTTAATACTTGTAGTTCACTACAGCTTTTTTGCTGTCTTAAAGCTTCGGGACCTCTCAGAACTGCAGCACATATCAAATGTAAGCCTCACCCACCTGCATTTAAGAGAACGCTCTTTATTTATAGTTTTATCTCTGACAAACCAAGTTGCTTGTTTGAAAAGCTGCAAAATGACATTTTTCAATCTACACATGCACAGTATGATTTATCATCAATTTAGCAATAAAGAGAACCTTTATTGCTACATTTTAATGCCAATATATAACATTTAACTCATTTCTGTGAAATACAGAAAGATTAAAAATCACCAAAGCAGGAAAGAAATTAATTTTTCCCTTCCCAATCACAATATTCGTGAAATCAGGACTCACTGTAGTAAATAAACACTGACTAAAATACCTTACAAGCTTGGATAAGCTACATTTAAAGCGGCTTATCTGTAGTGCGAGTGTTCAAATGTAATCCAATCAGATGTAGACAAACACCAGAGAAAACTGAAAGCACAGCCATAAAATCTCTGAGGTTTGTATTGTGGATAACAATGTGTCGCAGATGCTTAAATTCTCACAAACTGATTAAAATCACTGCAGTACACGGTGGTTTCATCTACAGATATGAAGAAATTGATTTCATAGTGTGAGTTAGTGCTCTTATCAAAATAAGCCATGACCTTTGTGAGAATACCTAGTAAATTAATCTTTTCTTCAAACAGCCAGCCAGTGTTCAAATTAAAATCCTGTAACTGCAGTTTTTTGCAAATACATTAAAGTATCTGTAAAGTCACAGATTGTAAACACACATAGGGACAGTTTATATTGTTCCTAAATGTGCCTTTGTTTGCAAAATATGGAGGTAAGCCCTATAAATTTTTAAACCGCTAGGTCCCTTCTTTCCACTAAGTTCTGATGGTGAAGAATCAAAACCTCCCACACTACACTAACCTATTTAACCACCTTCCACCCGCCATATAGTAATATGACGGATGCAAGGTGATTCTCTTATTGTGGGAGGACGTCATATGACATCCTCCCATTCTCACCGCGCATGCGCGGCTCAGGGAGCGCACAGCGCGGCGATCGGCCATGCGCTGTGTCCCTCGGAAACAGCGGATCACCGATCACGGAGAGATCCGAAAATGTCGGCTCGGTCATGTGATCAGCTGTGTCCAATCGCAGCTGATCACATGTAAACAGGGAAATGCCGGTTATCGGCATTTCTCTCCTCTCGAGCTGTCACGCTGACAGCTCGAGAGGAGAGGAGAGCCGGTAATCAGCTTTCCGCGGAGGGGACATGTACACTGATCATCAGGGCACTGATGATCAGTGTGCCCTGATGATCAGTGTAGCCCCAGCAGTGCCACCTGTCAGTGTCCATCAGTGCTTTCTGTCAGTGCTCATCAGTGCCACATCAATGCCACATACCAGTGCCTATCAGTGCACATCAATGCCACATATCAGTGCCCATCTGAGCTTCCTTTCAGTGTCACCCATCAGTGCCAGTCAGTGCCACCTATCAATGCCAATCAGTGCCACTTATCAGTGCTGCCAATCAGTGCCACCTATCAGTGCAAGTCAGTGCCGCCTATCAGTGCCAGCCAGTGCCGCCTATCAGTGCGCATCAGTGCCAGTCAGTGCCGCCTAACAGTTCCAGTCAGTGCCGCCTATCAGTGCCATGTATCAGTGCTGCCTTTCAGTGCCCATCAGTGATGCCTGTCAATGCCCATCAGTGCCACCTACCAGTGCCTCCTCATCAGTGCCCATCAGTGCCACCTATCAGTGCCCATCACTGCAGCCTCATTAGCGCACATCAGTGAAGGAGAAAAATCACTTATTTACAAAATGTTATAACAAAAACTAAGAAAAAAACTTATTTTTTTCAAAATTTTCAGTGGTTTTTGGTTTGTTTAAGAAAAAATAAAAAACCAAGAGGTGATTAAATACCACCAAAATAAAGCTCTATCGGTCACAAAAAAATGATAACAATTTCATATGGGTACAGTGTTGCATGACCGCACAATTGTCACTCAGACAGCGCTGAAAGCTGGAAACTGGCCTGGGCAGGAAGGGGGTATAAGTGCCCTGTAGGCTTGTGGTTAAAGAGGTACTCCATACAGGAGCTGCTGTCAATCTGAACCAACTAGGGGGGGGGGGGGGGTTGAGACTGAAAATGTCCAGGGGACGCATGCGCGACCAGGGATGATGGTGGACGCTGCTTGCTGAGCTCCGCTCATCCCCGGCCAATAGTGACTCACCCGCTCTGCTCCACAGCGATCCCGCCGCTTTGGGTGAGTCACACAGTATAAGCACCCGGCCTGGCAACAGGGAGAGGCGTCCATGGGGAAAATAGGGCGCTGGAAGCCCCCCTCTCCGCAGCTACAAGACCCGAGGCCCTCGCCGCTTCGGTGGTTTCTATCTAGGCCGCAATCCCTGGCCTCAAGTTGTGACAGGAGTCCGAGGAACGATCCCGGACCCCAGTGGCCGTGGAGGGTACTACACCTTGCTCTAATACAGAGCAACTGACAGCCTCTGCTCTGATTCATCCCCAAATGGTGGATTCTGACTCCCAAGCCACAGCAGGAGGGACATGGACCGTCCTACACCAGGGTATCTTCCAGCTTCTAGCCAAAACCATCAGCAGGCTACACCATCATCTGTGCTTACAATTTCTGCATTGGACGACAAACTGCAAGTCCTTTTTTACGCAACATTACCACCTCTAAAGCCGCTGAAGTTGTTAAATTGGCTATAGATCTCAGAGGGGAAATAGCTCAAATTGGAGACTGCACGGATAAACTGGAAAACAAATTTGATGAATTGGTGCAATACGTTCATGTATTGGAGGAAGATAACGCGTATCTGAAACACTCCATGTCCCAAATGCAGCTCCAACAAGAGGACCTGGAAAACAGGGAACAGCGACAAAATATCCATATTCGCGGTATGTCTGAATCTATCACTGACGCACAACTACACCGCCATCTACTGTCCTTCTTCATCGCAACTGCTCCCAAGGTTCAAGAGACAGATCGGCAAATGGACAGGGCTCATCGCTCTCTGGGCCCTAAACCTGTTGAGGGCACCAGACCACGAGACGTTATGGTCCGCTTCCACTACTTTCAAAGCACAGAAGCCTTACTGTTAGCGGCTCGACAAACATCTTCTTTGGAATTCAAAGTTGACAGACTCCAGCTCTTCTGCGACCTTTCTCCGATTACTCTTGCCAAGCGGCGTGCTCTGAAGCCGATCACCACACACCTCCCAGCAACACCGTGTCCTGTATCGTTGGGGGTTTCCCTTCGAGCTGGTCGTCTCTAGGGACAATACCCAAGTTGTACTCCGGGATCTTCATGAGGTGGACTCTTTCCTAAAACAGCTGGACTTCCACCTTTGTCGGATGATGTGTCCTCATTGCCTCCTACTCCATCTCGTCCCTCCGTCACCCCCAACAAGATCTGGACACCAGTCCACAGAGATCGGAAGAGACTCTTACACACCCCGCAACGTCCACGTTCTTCTCGACCAAGAGATCCGCCTGCCTGATGATTCTCTGGGGTGATCATCTGTGGTGAATATGGTGTTGATCCCTCCCCCCTGCTCCATACATGGGTTCTATACCGGTTTTGTTCTTTTGGCCGTCCAACCCTTGTTGGGTGCTCTTTTTGCTTTTGTTTCTCCTGGCCGGGTTTGGCGACCTCCCTGTTGTGTTGGATGTCGTGCTGCCCCCGATCTTGTCTAGCCACTGGCCTACACGACTTGGGCTTAGTTGACGTTCCCAAGTTTATATCCTTGCGGATACCTGTTTTTCACTGTATTTTCTTTTTTTTTGTGTTATTTGATTGTTTTATGATTTTTGTGTTCTATTCTTCTACATCGATGGTATTCAATCATTTTTCATGTAATACATGTACTTCAATCGTTCTTATTTCATAATGGCTTTGAGGTTTTTGTCATATAATGTCAAGGGCCTCAACTCCATTCAAAACGGTGGATGGCTTTGAAGGAATTTCGATCCTCAGGAGCAGACATTATTTTTGTTCAAGAGAACCCATTTCAAATCAACTGGCTCCTTTCATTTTGCCTCGAGATTTTTTTCCCAAGCTTATTCAGCCTTTGATCCCTCCGGGAAGGCCGGGGTGGCAATTTTGATTGGGTCACACTGCTCCCTTCGGGTTGTTTCCTCCAAGGTTGACCAACAGGGTCGCTTCATTATTTTGAATTGTATGCTTGGTGACACTCCCCTTGTTCTGTTGAATTTATATTCCCCAAATACGGGTCAATTGCAATTCCTTTCCCAAACACTCGCTAACCTAGATTCCATTTCCACTTCACAGGTGATTGTTGGGGGTGATTTTAATTTGATTTTTTTCCCCCCCCCATAAAGACAGGAAGGTTCTTTTTGAGTCCACCCCCTCGAGGCGGCAATGCTCCTCTTCAAAATCTTTCGTAGATTGATAAGGGAGCATCATCTCTTTGATGCTTGGCGGATTAAACACCCCCTCCATAAACAATTTACTTTCTACTCCACCCCTCACCGTACCTTCTCTCCCACCTAGATCACTTTTTTATCTCTGCCTCACTGCTTCCACTCCTGGTTTCTTCCGAAATCAATCCCATCACTTGGTCTGACCACGCCTCTTTGACTTTAATCCTTTTCTTTCCTCCTGTCATACTGAAACCATGTCATTGGCGCCTTAATGAGACCTTTCTTTCCATGGACCAACTCAGAGATAAAACTGTCTCGGGGGACTTGACACCTATTTTGCCCACAATGTTGGCTCCGTAGCCTCTCTTCAACTTTGTGGGAGGCGCCCACAAGGCGGTCTTTCGAGGACTCTGTATTTCTATGGGTTCTCATTTAAAAAAGTCTTCGGCGAGTGCTAGAGCCTCTCTCATACATCAACTATCTTTGGCGGAGTGACGGTTGTTGGTCAAGCCGTCCATTCTGGCTCCGGAGGGTAACATCTCTACGGGACCGAATGAAAATTCTCGACTCCAGTAAGACTGCACAATCCCTCTTGTGGATTAAGCAGAAATTTTACGAATTTTCTAACAAGCCCCATCGTATGTTGGTCAAGCTCAGTCTCGTTCTGCGTTGCCTGATCTTTTAATACAACCAAATGGAAGCCCTACCTATGACCCCGGGTCATGGCAACCCTTTTTGGCTCATTTTATGAGAAACTGTATAATTGTCTGTCCCAAGATCTTCATCCACCCCTCACACAGTCATCGTTTGATAATTTTTTTGACCCCTTGTCCCTTCCGAGACTATCACCCTCAGACATTGCTAGCCTTAATGCTGACATTACGCTAGAGGAATTACTGGACGCAATTAAACATCTCCCCTCTCGAAAAGCTCCGGGTCCGGACGGACTGCCTTACTCCTACTATAAATCCTTTATTGGTATCCTGGCCCCCTCATCTCTCCTCTCCTTTTATCGAGATCTTTTTAAGGGGATCACACCTCAGACTGAATTCTCCCGGGCATGGCATATATCTAAGTTATCCCTAAACCCTATAAAGATCACTCTATTGTGGACAACTACCGCCCCATTGCCCTACTCAATTCTGATTACAAGATTTTCACAAAAATTTTGGCCAATCGACTGTCCGGAATTATTTCCAAACTCATACATAGGGACCAAGTGGGCTTTGTACCTGCCAGACATGCTGCAGATAACACCAGGAGATCCATTAATCTGATTGACTTGGTTAATCGATCCTCCACCCCTGCTATGTTATTGAGCTTGGATGCTCAAAAAGCTTTCGACCGTTTAAGTTGGCCTTACATGTTCAGGGTCTTGGAGAGATTTGGTTTTTAGGGGTCCATTTGTAGCAGCCTTGAAGGCCCTTATTCGTCCCCCTTTTCGCAGGTCAGATTAGCTTCCTTTCTTTCACTCCCCTTCGGATGTCAAATGGCACACGTCAGGGTTGCCCACTCTCTCCCTTGCTGTTCATTCTTTGTCTGGAACCACTAGCTATCGCCATCAGGTCGAATCCGGATATTCACGGGATACAATCCCATTCCCATGAGTACAAATTATCGCTGTTTGCAGATGACATCCTCCTCACACTTATGAGTCCCCATACCTCCTTACCGATTTTGCATAAGACTCAATTTGGGGCTATATCAGGCTACAAAGTCAACACGTCCAAAACTGAGGCACTCCCAATACATGTCCCCACCTGACGTTTATCTTCGCTTCAGGAAGCCTTTCCCTACAGGTGGTGCACCCACTCTTTAAAATATTTAGGTACTAATTCTTACATCCTCTTACAATCCATATATGAAGCCAATTTCCGTCCACTATTTATAGTGATTTCTCGCTCTCTGAAACATTGGGATGCCCTGCCCATCTCTTTCTCGGACGCATAACGTATTAAAAATGACCGTGTTACCCAAACTTTTATACCTGTTTGCAACCCTCCCCGTCCCTATGTCCAAACTTCACTCCCTTCAAAATCTTTCCTGCATTTCATTTGGCACAACAAGCGGCACAGGATTTGCACGTTCTGTTTTGCTCTCCCCACGCTCTAGGGGGGGACTGGGGAGTGCCGGATATAATAACATACTATTAT